AGAAGGAGAAGGAGAAGGAGAAGGAGAAGGAGAAGGAGAAGGAGAAGGAGAAGGAGAAGGAGAAATAAGTGACTAAGAAGATGAGTCAGTGCAGCAATGATTAGACAGCTAAATGTAATATTTGCTGTTTGGACAGTTCAGTGGAACCCTACCAACTGAGGGCCACAAGCTTGAACATGTGCTCTGTGTCCCAGAATTGTGATACTTGCAGTGTTTTTGGAGGTGGGGGAGACCATGTGGAAATTGTGGCAAGCCATCATTAGAATAATCTTTTAAAAGCAGCATTGCCAACCAATAATTTATTCAAGTGACCCATGATCATCTTGTGGATAAAGAAGGGATGGTTGTAACCAAGTGGTAAGACTTTAATCAGCATTGGCACTTCTGAAATATTTAATTCCAGAATAAACAAAGGTTTAATTATCCTAAGCTGGAAGGGGATGAAATGATTATCGTTTAAGGAAGCAATTATAGAGAATATATGTCTGATAAAAATAACTAAACCAAACGTGAAGACCTTCTGCACTCATTGAAGGCATGATACCTTCCTAACCTTCTTTATAGAGGAAGAGTTAGTAATTTCAGACCTTGCCTAATTATATCCCACAGTTTGGAATATGAAAAAGGGACAAATGAAAGCTTTTAGCTTAGTTTCTCAGCTTGGAAAAGTAAGTAATTATACATATGGGTGAACAATATTTGGTCCAGGCCTATATTTTAAAAATAATTTCCATCCTTTTTTTCTTCAGTGATGTTTATCATGTCACTTCACAGATGCTTAAAACATCTTTTTTACAACTTTTTTTTTGGGGGGGGGGGGGAATGAAAAATGTGCCATCAAAAATTGGGAATTTACTACCAAAGTTCAGTTACACAATCTGGGTATGTTCTGCCGTCACAAAATGGAAGCCAACGGCTGTAATTAGAGTCATCAGTGAAGGATGTCAAAGAATGCTTTGCATAAACTAAGTGTCTTATTTCTGGCTCAGTAAGAATTTACTGGGGAAAAAAAAAAGAGTTCACAATAACTTCACTGAGAGTAGTGTACTATCTCAGACAGTCTCTTCCTTTTGCTATCTATTTTCTTTTCCATGAAAAAATCAGAACTATTGGAAAAAAATACTTCAAGTTTTAATTCTTTTGTTTCCCTCTCATGCAACACAGCCACATACACACAAAGGACAACCAATTTTATTAAATTCAACTTGACTTTAAAAGAGGGTGTTCATTAAAGAAAACGATCAGTTCACATTAAGCTAGCGTGGCCTTCCGGAGGGACCATTAATCTGATTTTGCAACCCACAGTAATGATCTCACATTGCTGATGTAATTGAAAGATCGTATTTATTACGAAAGCACTAATGCACAGTCCCTTTCTACTTACTTAAACAAATAAAGTGATCAATATATGTATTGTGCATTTACACAAGTAGCAGCTCACATTAGTTAAGATGGTTATCAGGAATAATTAAGTATGTTTTTCAAGATAATTTGGCCATATTCATTTTTTGTCAGTTGGGGATATATTACAGGTTTCAGGAGCAGTATGGCCTTTAATCTTTCTGTGAAGACTTCTCCTTCCATTTTAGCTTAGAATAAATTCATGACATTCTGGGTAAAGCAGGTAAAGTAGCAACCAGGGAATGGAGACTCACTACTTAACTTCCTCCCTATGATCCAGCAGAGCTCAAGGGGTACAAGTATTTTATTAGTGTATTTAGAACTCCCATCAGACTTCTTTTTGTCAGAAAATTCAAAATTATTCCAGTTTAGTGGAATTGACTTTCATGGGTACTCTCCTCTGAAATGCTGCAATTTGCACTAACAGCTCTAATCCTCCCTAAATGTCAACACTTGCTCGCTCATGGATTAAATTCTTATCTTTATCAGAGGCCATTTGCCACTGTCTCAGAATGGCTAAGTGGACAAGTTTTACTCTATATACAATTTCTCCATGTGCCAGAGGTTATTTCCAGACCATATCAAAATTGCCGACCTCCTGAATCTGTTAGTTCAGCCACCCTGGTGTGCTGACTGGCCATGGTTGCCTGGGAGATGACATGTGGGGCCTGAACTAACAGACTGGGGGGTGAATGCATCCTTGGTAGAGGGGGCAGTTCCACCATCCCGTAAGGAGGCAATGGTCTGACCCCTCTTCAAGCAGCCATTCCTATACTTGACCCCTTTAGACAACTTTAATCTCAAATTAAATAAAATTATTGCTTCTTTGCATTTATATGTTGCCAAATCTGAGCAGACTTGTGGTAGCATACAATGAAACATCTGCAATACAACATTACATATAAAACAACAGAATACAATTTTAAAATAAAAATAAAATATCTACAGTAATAAACATCCACAGTAAATCACACATATTAGAAACAGCTAGTACTAGCAATTAAAATCTATAATACAACTCAGAACCAGTCCCTTGTTAATACTAATAGC